AGGTCATTGTTCTTACCCCTCTGCCTCTGAGTTCCAGGGCGGGGCGAGCAGAGTATGGCGAGGCCCCAAGGAGTTCAGGGTCAGATGAGAGGAGGGAGAATGGGGTAGGGCAGCGCTGCTCCAGCCTGTGTCCCGGGGCCCCTCCGCGCTCCTACAAACTGTCAAGGCCCCAAAGAGCTTTTGCTCGCGTGAGTTATATCTGTTGATGGTTATCATATTCAAAGTTAAAACGGGGAAAATTAAGAGACACTTCCCAATTCGTTTAAAAACAAGGGTAAATCCACTCTATATTAGTACAATCGTTTTACGACAAACTGGTTTCCCAAACAAGCAGCGTTTTACATTTTTGCGAACCTCTTTAATGTCTGGCTTTCTAACCGGAGACGGCGGGATTCCCATGTGCTTTCAGCATTAAATCTGTTGTGACACATGTCATGTAGCCTCTGGGAAATTCTACCGTACGTTCGAGAACAGGAGCGAAAAAGGTGAACCACGATTTAGCATTATCGTGAACAGCGTTCGACCCCCCCGACAGGGTCTTGGGACCCTCCTGGCCCCCAGACCACCCTTTGAGAACTAATCTTTAACAGGAAAACCGTATATGTGGTTACCATCACTGCCCCTGCTGCTGTCACCACTCATACAAGGACCACAAATAAAAACCTAAAAGCCCTCAAAATAGAAGCCCTTCTTCGTTCTAGAACGTCTTCGCGGAAAGGGTGGGTCTCATCTGGTAACCCGGGAGGTGTGCAGGAGACTTGTCCTGTTTTCATTCAAGTTGTATGTTTTTCCGGGGAAGTTGGGGAGTGGCCGGTGGGGATGAAGGAGCGTTTGTGTTTTAATCCTCTGGTGGGTTCTACTATTGTTTTCATTTAGAGGAAAAGGCACAGGAACTCACGCCCAGCCTCCAGCGAGAATCTATTCTTTCCTGCGTTTGCTCTCTTTCCCCCCATCTCCAAGTTAAAGAGCCGAAGCATGAATGAATGTCCCAAGGTTATCGACATACGGTGTCGTAGCCGGTCATTGCGTTAGCCTTGCTCGTTATGTCACGAACAGTTGATAGTTACCTCCCGCTGGAGACGGGGTACCGTATGGGAGGGACCCCTCTGACTCCTGCGGGAGTCCTGGCACAGTGCCAGCCCAAGATACAAATTCAAATTTTTTGTGAACCGACCCATCAGCTAAAAATCCTCCCCATGTAAACGTGCTGATGGGAACGCCTGGGCGGCTCAGGCGTTGAAGCATCAGACTCTCGTTTTCGGCTCAGGTCATGATCTCCGGTTTCCTGAGTTCGAGCCCAGCGTCAAAATAAAGTTTAAAACCCTGGGATGCTTTAAACACACTAAAGGTTATCCCTTCTATCATGCAAATTTTAAAATCCCACCTTACCTAGGAAGAAATTCCAGGGTGGCCTTCAGGGAGCTTCCTCGGTCTCTAGACCCTCTCGACGCGTCTTGGGGCTATAAACGGCACATCTGAGCCTTGCCGGAGCCTGCTTCTCTGTTCGCGGCCCTCCATTCTTCCCTCTTTCCTCTCCACACAGGGCCTTAGCGCCAAAAAGGCACAGGAAATCTTGAACCGAGATGGACCCAACGTGCTTACGCCGCCCCCCACCGTTTCGGAATGGGTCAAGTTCTGTAAACAACTCTTCAGTGGCTTCTCCATCTTACTGTGGATGGGTGCCATTCTCTGCTTCATGGCCTATGGCATCCAGATGCATTTCAAGGAGGATCTTTCCAGAGATAATGTGAGTCTGTTCCACTGCCACCGGCCAGCCCGGTCTCTGCTCAGCTCTGATACTCTCCTGCTCTGCACCCTTGCCCTCTCGAAGGCCTCTGGCCCAAACCCCCGGTACTCCCAGGACTTTCTGAGGGAGCCCTTGGTCCTTAGGCTTTTATCTAGAAAGCTACTGATGCAGCTGCCTGAGAGGCATGGTTTCACCCCGAAACTTGCTCTCCTTTGATTATCCTCCTGCCTCATCATCAAAGCACTCTGCGGCCCCGTTCTCTTTGCCAGAATTTTGATCTCTTCACCTTCTTCCTCCTGGTCTCCCTCCCTTACCTGCCCCCCCCCCCAGCCCAAGCATAGCCCAAGCATCCTGGGGTTCTGCTGCATCCTGCGGGCCTTCACGGTAGCTCAGGGCTCCGACTGAGACACCCTGCCCCAGATTCTTCCTCAGCCCCTCCCCGGCCATTACCCTGGCGAGCTGATTTTCTGATTTGAAGAGGAGACAAAAGGGCTACTGATGAGCCCTGTGTATCCCCGCCCCCAGCTGTACCTGGGCATCGTACTGTCCTTCGTGGTCATCGTCACCGGCTGCTTCTCCTACTGCCAGGAGGCCAAGAGCTCCAAGATCATGGAGTCTTTCAAGAACATGGTGCCTCAGGTAGGATCGGTGTGGGAGGATCAGGTGAGCGAGGCGTAGAATGTGCCCAAACGGGCAGTTTTTAAGTCCCCTGAACGTTACATCCTGCGACGCGTGAGGGAGGGGCAAAGGAAGTTGGAAAGGCTGGATTCCTCAATGACCTGAAAGACAAAGGCCAGACAAAGGCCAGCCGTGGGAACGTTCCAGGTTCCAGGGGGCTAAAGAGACACGACAACTGAATGCAATACCTGGACGAGACCAAGTCCTGTGGCGAAGGGGCAAATAATGCGGCTGACGTACTGGGTCCCAACAAATAGGGGACTGACGTACTGGGTCTACGAACAGCAGACTAAAGTCTGGTGTCAAAGCGAAAGTTAATGACACCGCTAGCTGTATCGTGGTTCTTTAACATACTCATTCTTGAGCCGTGCGCCCTGAAAGGTGCAGAAGACCACGACGTACGTAACGTACCCTCAGACGGTTCCGGAAAAGAAGTGCTCGCATCCACACGTCGGTAGACACGGTGACCGAAGGACAGAGCGAGTGGGGTAAAACGTTAACAGTGAATCTGGGTAAAAGTTATACTGGTATTCTTAGTACCATTTTTATGCTTGACACTTTCCTGAAAGTTTAGGTAATTTTCAAATTAAAAAAAGATGATTTGTCAGCATCTGGAAATAACATGACAGCAGAAAGAGGTTTTTAGGCACAGAGATGGAGACTCGGAAAGGAACAGGCGCGAATTTCCCGACAGCACCATCATGTTCTGGTGTCCTAGCCCAGGAGATTTTTTCCCCTTTGCTGTCAACGTGAATTAATTCCTCCCTGGGGTAAGACTTCGGGGAACAATGGTTTGGTAAAATGAAGCAGGAGTGTGGAGACCATCCGTTCGCTTTTGCTGCCTAACTGGTCACCCCAAACTTAGTGGCTCAAAACAACAAACATAGCGTTTCCCACACTTCTGTGGTTGGGGCTGTTCTGATCTGGGCTGAGCCGAGCAGGGCTGGACGGTCTCAGATGACCTCATCCCCATGTCTGGGGATGACTGAGATGGCTGTGACAGCCGGGGCCTTTCTCCTTTGACCTCTCTTCCTCCAGGAGGCGAGCTCGGGCTTGTTCAATATGGTGGCAGAGGGGTTCCCGGTGACAAAAGGGCAAGCGCCCACGTGCGAGCACTTTTTTAAGCCTCTGCTTTGCATTATGTGTCTAATGTCTCAGGAGCCGAAGCCAGTGGTATAGCCAAGCCTAAGTGTAGGGATGGAGAGACAGACCCCATCTCTTAGAGACAGGGTCATCAAAGTCACGTCGCAAAGGACAAGGATGGTAAGAATTTGGAATCCACCAAAGAGACCTTCAAGCGTGATGTGGTGAGTGACAGTGTAAGAAAGGGAGTCAGAAGGAAGGAGCCCAGGAACAAGAGGTTATAGGCCAGAAGCAGGATGAGGGAAGCAGAAAGTTCTGGAAATGACCCAGCACTACCTTCCCACAGCAAGCTTTGGTGATTCGGGATGGAGAGAAGATACAGATCAACGTAGAGAACGTGGTGGTAGGAGACTTGGTGGAGGTGAAGGGCGGAGACCGAATCCCTGCGGACCTCCGGCTCATCTCTGCACAAGGATGTAAGGTGAGGGGGTGGGGGAAGCCAAGGGAGGGAGCCCAGCATGGTCTTAGGGTGACCTTAGGTACTGGCCTGGATTCGGTTAAAGAAAGCACGATCTTATCATTCAGAACCTCGAGAAGTTACAGGTGCAAATTTGAGGTTGGAGACAATAGGTGCTGGGGTGTGAATTTGTTTCTCTCTGCAAGCCAACAATGATGGCGTCGGTGGCGGATAAAGATGTGTCATCTTTACGAAGGGATCTTTCTTCCCATGCTCACTTTACGACCCATCCTCCCTCCCATCCCAGGTGGACAACTCCTCCTTGACTGGAGAGTCAGAGCCTCAGTCCCGCTCCCCTGACTTCAGCCACGAGAACCCTCTGGAGACTCGCAACATCTGCTTCTTCTCCACCAACTGCGTGGAAGGTGAGCATGACGTCATCAGTGGCCTAGATTCGAAAGCAGAGATTGAAATAAAGATTCCAAGAACCCTCTATCTTCTAAAGGCAGTAGGGTAGGTAAGAGCCAGTAAACGGGTGAGGCTCTCCATCGCTCATGAGCTGCACGACCTTGGGGAAAGGTCAAAGCCATGGTCTCCCCGTTTTGCACCACGATGATACGAAGAGTCGCTATCCCGTGGATGTTTATGTGGATTCAATGCACAGAAAATGTTTAGCACGAAGCCTAATACGTTGGAAGTGCCCTGCAGTCGTCAGCTAGTTCCATTGTGGCTGCTGAATAGACTGTGCTCTCTCAGCTGAAAATAGCACAGAAGGACAGAAAACTGTTGAGCCCCGCCAGGTCAGTCTTCTCGTGAGTTGAGCGCTAACTTCTCACTATTCCAGAAAGGTATCAGCATCGGAGATCCGAGTTACCAACGGTGCCACTCAACACGTTGGCTCTGCTCCTAGAATCTAAGACACCCTTGTGCAGGCAGTTCTGGCCAAGGGTGGTAACGACGGACTCAATATCATTATGTCAACCTTCCCCCTCAGGGAGGCCTGCAACACCCCCTGAACACACATGAAAGCCATTATTCGTGCTTAACAACAAATGTTTGGGTATCCAAGAAATAGCTATTTTTTAATTGAACGCCTTGGACGCGCCAAGTGCTACAGATGTCTCTGACGCTCACAACACTGCACGACGGATACTATCGCTTTTTTACACATGAGAAGCTCAGAGAAGTTAAATGCAGTCTCCAAGAGCACAAGTCAATAGGAAAGAGGAAAATCAAGGATTCTCCTGCAGGTCTGTCTCCCAAAGCCCATGTTCTTTCCGTAGACCCTTCTCTGGGACAAAGCCGCCTACTGATCTCTCTGTTAATGAAATTATTTAATGCAAAAATACTTTGGGAGCATCTGGCTGGCTCAGTCAGTGGAACATGCAGCTCTTAATCTTTGGGTTGTGAGTTCAAGTCCCACAAGGGGCATGGAGCCAACTAAGATAAGATAAAGCAAAATGAAATAAATAAAATAATAAAATAAAATGAGGGGCGCCTGGGTGGCTCAGCAAGTTAAGCATCCGACTCTTGATTTCGATTCGGCTCAGGTCATGATCTCACAGTTTCGTGAGTTCGAAGCCCGCATCGGACTCTGCGCTGACAGTGTGGAGCCTGCTTGGGATTCTCTGTCTCCCTCTCTCTCTCTGCCCCTACCCTACTCACGCCGTCTCTGTCTCTCTTAAATAAACTTAAAACGAATTTTTTTAATTTAATTTAATTTAAATTTAAAAAGAGAAAATACTATAACAGATGAGAGTAATTATAAAACGAAATAAATAAGAATCCCACCAGAAAATAAAATCGACATTGAACCATTTTTAAATTTTGATCGGACAGAAAGAGCCAGGCGACCAAGCTTCCTCCAAAAACACTGGATTTCAATTATTAAAATTCAGGAAAAGCTTTTGCTCAGATTTGTCTTCCCAAAGTGGGGTTTTCATCAGCAAAGCGTATGCCTCAGATGAGGGAGCAAGTGGGTGGTGGCATCCCACCCAGGAAACAAAGTTCCGGCCAGAACTGAGGAGACCACGGGGACCCAAGATGTGGCCGAGAGGGCGGAGCTAGGCCCCAGGAGCTCTTGACTGTGCAGCTGAGGGATGTCCACGGGGTTTGCAAACTAGTAGCCTACCTTCAACCTTGATCCCAGATCCTCACCTCCCGACGTTCATGGCCACGGCCCTGACAGGGCTGCAGGTACGGACGTCTGACTCTGGGTTCTCACGCATCTCCACGGGGCCCGAGCTGTCTCCCTGGCGACGTGCAGGGTCCGGAGGGGTCAGTCTGGCCTGGGATACAGGAGGCTTGCCCGTGGGCTCAACCTTCCCCAGCTTTGCATCAACCCATCCTGTCTCCAGACACGTGAGATTCGGTACTAAATCCCGCCTCTGCGAGTGGACGAACCCACGAGGGAAGGCGTGCAAAAGGCGAATCAGACCAAACCCTGGCACAAAATAGATGTAGGTAGCACCAAGCTACCCTGCCCCCAAACACAAAGCCCTCTCGGTCCCCCTCAGTCATCTGAGTGTCTGCTTTGACAAGGCTCGGTGAACGCCACCTACTCCCGCCCGTGTGGAGCCCGTGTGCAGAGAGCCCTGGACGCAGCCAGTCTTCCCCGGCACCCCGGCCCTGCCCGCCGCCCTCGGGGTGGGACCCTGCTCTCAGGCCCACTCAGCTGAAGGGAACCTTGGAAATGGACCAGCCGCTCTGAGCCACGGTGTTTGCGGGAGCCGTCAGAGTCGAGCCACCCCTCCTGAGTCACGCGTATGAGTTTCTGTCGATCCTTCTTAAGGCCAAATTCATCCAGATGAAGAAAAGACAGAAGCAAGTATCTGGGTGTGTCCTATGTGCCCGATTCTGTTCCAAGCTGTTTTGTCACCTCTCATCCTCGCCGCTTTGTAGATAGATGCTCTCGGCCCACTTTCAGGCTGAGCACACCTGGGTCTCAGAGAGGGTAAGGAGCTAACTCTCGGACCGGGCAGCGACCACGCTGCAAAACTGAACTTCCGGCCGGAGCCCTGCTGGTTAGAAAACAGGTGCTGTTTCTAGAATACGCAGCTCTTTCTGGGTGATTCGGTGACTGTAGTGGCAGGGATTCCAGCCATTCTGGTAAAGCAGGAAAAAACCGTTTTGAGCCAAGAACGGGCCCCTCATTTCGAGCCACGCGGGTGAGGGGCCCGCATCCCACAGGTGTGGAGCCAAGCGTGACGTCCAGGTCCCCCTTCTGAGGCCGGGGCAGGGTCCGCGGAGCGAAAGCCCAGAAGCCCGGCTGTTATGACGGCTCCTCCCCAGCAGGGGTCAGGCTGGCTCCAGCCAGCAGAGCAGGGAGGGGCTCAGCGGAGCCGTTTCTCAAACTCCACACTGGGGCCACTGGGGCAGGATAATTCTTCGTTGTAGGGGGACAGAGGGGCTCTCCCGTCAATTGCAGGATGTGGCAGCATCCACGCCCTCGCGCAGCGACCTCTCCCACCCCAGATGTGACAGCCAAGGTGCCTCCAGACCTTGCCCACCGGCTCCTGGGGGCAAAATGCCACCGACGGAGGACACACTAGTTCAGGGGAGAGGCCGATGTTGGAAGGTAGGGCTCTAACAGGAGGGTGGCCACCATTCCTGGGGATCTAGAGACTTTGCAGCTGCTGAGGGAAAAATAAGAAACAGACAGGCAATAAGAGATACTCAGAATCAGTGTAACAAAGACCTTTTATTTTTAATGTTTGTTTATTTTTGAGAGAGACAGAGACAGAATGTGAGTGGGTTAGGGGCAGAGAGAGAGGGGGACACAGAATCCGAAGCAGGCTCCAGGCTCTGAGCTGCCAACACACAGTCCGACGCGGGGCTCGAACCCACGAGCCGTGAGATCATGACCTGAGCCGAAGTCGGACGCTCAACCGACTGAGCCACCCAGGTGCCCCAACAAAGACCCTCTTGACAGGGAAGGCAATAAGGCAATGAAATGGGAGGACTGTGAAATCAGAGATTTTTCGGGCGAGGAGACCCTTTGCTTGTGTCAACTAAATGTGAGAATACAACACGACGGCCTCCAGGAGGCTCTTGAGTGTCCACCTTGCTCCTGACAGCTGTGTCCTTGCAGGAACCAAGGGCGGCCACTTTCCCACCTCAGACTTCCCTGTTCCTCTGCAGGAACAGCCCGGGGCATTGTGATAGCAACGGGAGACTCCACAGTGATGGGCCGCATCGCCTCCCTGACGTCAGGCCTGGAGACGGGCAAGACCCCCATCGCTGTGGAGATCGAACACTTCATCCATCTGATCACGGTGGTGGCCGTCTTCCTTGGCGTCTCTTTCTTCGGGCTCTCGCTCAGCTTGGGCTACGGCTGGCTGGAGGCTGTCATTTTTCTCATCGGCATCATTGTGGCCAATGTGCCCGAGGGGCTGCTGGCCACCGTCACTGTGAGTAGCCAAGGTGGAGGGTGGCCGTCTACACAGACAAACCACCCCAGGGGTGGAAACCACTAGAAAACACAAGAAATCTCTCTTGCTGTTGAACCTCTCGAGGCCAGGCTACCCCTGATGTGTGTACCGTTACCACCCGCTTTGCTCCCCAAAGGCACTGACTTCCCCCACCCGCATTTTCTGGCGCCTTCTCTGTTTTCTCCGTGAGTTGCGGTGCAGAGAGCATTAGATTCTCAGTCGTCGGCAGTGAGTTCCAGTCCTGGGTGTACCGGCCGGTGAACTTGGCCAAATCACTGAACCTCGCCAGGCCTAATGGAATCATCGGGTTTTCTAGAGGAAGATTGACTTGGAATATAGAATCTTACCAGAAAGGGCTTCAGAGCCCATAGAAACCCAGCCTTTCAGCCGATGCCGAATATCCGGTGTACAATCCGTGGCAGATGCTGAGGATGGTTTCTGGTCCTGGGAAGCCCGCCCCATCCGCTCTCTGTTCATTTCATCACTAGGTTGCTGTAGCTGGGTTTCACTGTGTTGAGCAGAAGCAGGTTTTCCTGTTTGGTCCCAGCTTTCCCATCTGAAGACACGCAAAACAAGTCAATTCTCTCTCCCTTCTACAAACTGTGCTTTCGACTGATGGTACCCATCGTGTCCTCCTCAAAATCTCCGGCTGGAGATAAAAAATAATCCCTTTTCCCTTAGCCGTCCTTCACGTCACACGGCCTTCAGGCCCCCGGCTTGCTGGTCGCCCGTTTGGGGTATGCCCTAGTTTACCGATATCCTTCTTAAAGTAGAAATGAGAATTAATAACCCAGGGTGTGGTTGGTTAGCACAAAACCCCAGGACCAGTGACGAGATGTGAATAGATCATAACCCCACGATTAGAATTCTGTACTATTGTAGCCATGGCCTAAGAACGTATTCGTTTTTCAAACAACCTTGCCGCATACCTGACTTTCATTGAATTTGCGGTCCGTATAATTGATGTCCACAAAAATCGGATTTGAATGACTTCTCGAGTCTGCAATATTCCTTCTCAGTTACATGATTCGCTCCGTGTTCTTTTTTTATAACTGTTGGTCCAACCCCCACCCCCCGCCCCCGCCCCGCACACACAGCATCTTATACCCCAGTGAACCGTTAGCTACCGACGTGGTCCCCGGGGAGACCGGACTTGAGAGACACAGGGGGGGCCTGAACTCGATTTGGAGCAGGGCCTGCTGAATAGAAAAGACGAAAGGATCCTGGGGGAGCAGAATATTCCAGGGATCAGGCCATGCTCTACGTTACCCTGGTAGAGGACGACTCTCTTTTTCCAAAGCGCTGCCGTAACGCGCGAACAAAATCCCTTCCCTGATTTCCTTTACCACGGCCCCAGATGGGATTCCTAAGGACTAGGTGGGAACGGAAGGGAAATAAGTACAAAGAGTGACAATAGCAATAGCAGCTACCAGATTTCCCAAGCACACCGTGGTGTGAGTGGCCGACGTCTTGTCTCCGTTGATCGTCTGCCCTCTTCGCGGCCTTAGGTGTGTCTGACCCTGACCGCCAAGCGCATGGCGCGCAAGAACTGCCTGGTGAAGAACCTGGAGGCGGTGGAGACGCTGGGCTCCACCTCCACCATCTGCTCGGACAAGACGGGGACCCTCACCCAGAACCGCATGACCGTCGCCCACATGTGGTTCGATGAGACCATCTACGAGGCGGACACCAGCGAAGAGCAGACTGGTGACTGGTGGCACCGGTGGGCCGAGGGTGCGGGGCTGGGGGTGGCGAGTGGGCTGCGGAATCTGACGCGGGGAAGACGGCTGGGCCCCGAGTGCAGAGAAGGGAGGCGCGGAGGAAAGGTGCGGAGGTGCCAGGCACTGGGGCACAGAGCAGGATGGGGCTATGTCCCTGCTTTGCACTGCCCTGCCCCCTGCCCCCTACTCATGAGCCTCTCCTTCCCCCCCCTTCCTCCCCAGGGAAAACGTTTGCCAAGGGCTCAGCTACCTGGTTCGTCCTGGCCCGAATCGCCGGCCTCTGCAACCGAGCTGACTTTAAGGCTAACCAGGAGACCCTTCCCATCGTCAAGGTACGGGGCCTGCGCGGGGAGGGGATGCCTCGGTGTCTGGGGCGTGCCCCGCGCCCTCCCCAGACACCTCTCTTCAGTGCTCCCCCCCAGGTCCTCCCCATCACGCCCCCCCCCCCGTCCCTGTGTCGTACCCCCTGGGCTTAGCAAACACACCCCGTCTCGGCAGCGAGCCACAACAGGCGATGCTTCTGAGTCGGCCCTCCTCAAGTTCATCGAGCATTCGTACAGCTCTGTGAAGGAGATGAGAGAGAAAAACCCCAAGGTGGCCGAGATTCCCTTTAATTCCACCAACAAGTACCAGGTACAGAACCCACGAAGGCAGAATGGCGGTGGGGGTGGGCTCGTCGTTTGGAGAATGCCTTCGCCTTCAACCTAATCTCTGAACAGTAGAATGAAGACGTGGATAGATTACCAGCATCCTCATTAAGAGGAAGGCTGGGGGCACCTGCGTGGCTCAGTCGGTTGAGCGTCCGACTCTTGGTTTCGGCCCAGGCCGTGATCTCGGGGTTCGTGAGTTTGAGCCCCCCGTCGGGCTCTGCGTTGACTGCACAGAGCCTGCTTGGGATTCTTTCTCTCCCCCTCTCTCTGCCCCTCCCCGCCTTGCTCTCTTTCTCTCTCTCTCAAAAAATACAAACATAAAAATAAATAAAAATTTTAAAAAAGGAGACGTTCACCGCAAGAGAAAGTGACAGACAGGTAGAGGAAAGACGCTGAGCAGGAGTCTCCCAGTCGCTTGCGAAAAGAGCAAGTCGGAAGTGTCCCATAGGTAGCGAAAGCCGCCGGGTGACAATCGGGGTCCAGCCTCGTGCAGCTGTCGGAGGCATCTCTGTGGCTCCCGCCAGGCTTACCACCGCGGGATAAGGCTGGGTTTGCAAGGCGCTCCCCGGTGGTGCCCTATTTCATCTCAGGCCTGTGCGCGAGGACGCCAGGCAGACTCAGCAAGGGCGGTATTTGGAAGTTACTGGGAGTGCAGATCCTAAAAGTTTTCCTTACAAAGCGGAAAAAAAAATTGTAACTAAAAAAAAAATGATAATAATAACAAAAGCTATATGGGGTTTGGAGTTTTTAAAAAGCCAATTCCCCGTCTTCTCACGTTGAACATCAAGCACGTAAGCGGTCAAGAAAGAGATCCAGAGTTTTGTGTCTCTGCTGGCTTTCAGTGTAACAAGATAGGTCTCCTGAGCCCAAACTGCGAACTTATTTCTACTTTTATCTGACGTTTAGTGGCCTCACAACCCAGACGAGGGTTGTGTGCCTGGCAGGGCCGGATGAAAGCCTGTGACGGCCAAGAGGTGGATGCCCCTTCCGCCGCATGAGTCAAAATAAAAGCCAAATATACCCACGACATTCGTTGGGACGTCCCACGAAATAGCGACTTCCCCCAAAACGACCAGGTTAGCGCCTTTCCTGAGCTATCACGTGCCAACGGCACAACCTTCCTCGGTGGTTCCCATGCCAGGTGCGCCCAGCCGGCCGAGCAAACGCCCTAACTGGTGGTGGCCTAACTCCAGCTCTGAGCGTGGCCGTCCTCGGCCTGCTCGTCGCTTGCGGGGCGCGATCTCTTCCTCGCTCTTGGACTAAAAGGAAAAGAGCGTCTCGGTTCTGATATTTCCAGACTGCTTCCACCTTCTGATCTGCCATTTTCTATCAAGATGCGATTTTCCCATGACCAACGGGCTAACTCATAAGTAGGTCACGCCATCACCTCCGATAATCCCCATAAATAGCGAACAAATGCGTATTAAGCCTTCAGAAAACCAAGCTTTTTAAACCGCTTACAGCTTTCTGTTTAGACAAGCTAAGGTTTTTTCCTCTTAACTGCTTAGGCATACTTTGACTACAACTGAAAGTGGTAAGGAATATTTGAAAGTTTCTAATGGGATGGGCCTTTGAATAAGTTGGTTGTATTTTTATTTATTTATTTTTTAATGTTTATTTTTGAGCGAGAGAAAGAGCACAAGCAGAGGAGGGCCGGGGGGCGGGGCGCTGACAGCAAACTCGACGAGGGGCTTGAACCCACGAACCAGGAGATCATGACCCGAGCCAAAGGCGGTCGCTCAACCCACTGAGCCACCCAGGCACCCCTCTAATGGGATGGTTTGAACGGCATTTGACACACAGGCTTCCCACCGCTTCTCCTCTGGACGGTGCAATCCGGCCTCCTCTGCACCTGCTCATTTCCAGGTGCTGCTTTTGTGACCAGACAGGCTACGAATAGGGACTTGCTGGCTCCTAAGAGGAACCTCACCATAATTCCCGCTCCCAGATCAGAGATCAAGAGAAGACGCAAAACCGAAATGCATCTAATTTCTCTCTCCTCCCTGAGTGTGGTCTCCTCAGTCACTCTTGACTATGCCCTTCCCTGTCCCCAGCACACCGCACTGACCCCGACCCCAAATTTCCAGTAGCCCCTGGGACTTCTCACGCTACTGGGAGAGGGGCAAGGGCATGACAATGACCGACCTACCTCTGGATGATGCTTCGTGCTTTTCAAAGTACTTTGTACAAATGATCTGACCCTCGGGAGCGCCTGGGTGGCGCAGCCGGTTAAGCATCTGACTCCTGACGTCAGTTCGGGCAGGTCACGACCCCACAGTTTGTGAGCTGGAGGCCCGCATCGGGCTCAGCCTCGATGGTGCAGATCCTGCTCGGGATTCTGTCTCTCCTTCTCCCTGCCCCTCCCCGGCTTGTGCTTTCTCTCTGTCCCAAAATAAATAAATAAACTTAAAAAGAGGAAAACAATCTGACCCTCAAACAGCAGGGGTGAACTGCGGGGGTCCACTTCAACACGGCCGGTTTTCGACAAACACAGCATGGTACTGTCTGTGCGTTTTCTCTTGTGATCGTCGTAACAGCGCTGGCTTTTCTCACGCTCACTTTTCCGTGGGAATACGGTATATCGTACACGTAACACGTAGCATATACGCCAATCGACCGTTTATGCTATTGGTAAGGTTCTGGGTCAACAGCAGGCCGTATTAGCAGCTAAGTTTTAGGGGAGTCAAAAGTTCCACGCTCATTCGTGACTGTGGGGTCTCTCCTAAAAACCCGATGAAGTCAGCAACACAGAATCTTTTGCTTTTCATCAGAGGCACTAAGGTTTAGGAAGGTTAAATGGACCGACCCGAGGTCCTAAAGCATTCCTGCCGGCCCTGCGACCCAGGCCCGCGGACCCTGCGTTTTCTCTCCTGTCCACTCTGCTCCCTCTGCCCAGCTCAACCTTCTGCTTTCCAGGCAGAGAGGAAGCAGAGACAGTGAGAGTCCTGGTCCAGCTCTCAGCCTCCAGTGGCGGAGAAGATAACAGATTTGTTATAGGCTGGATTCCGGGCAAGGACGATGGGTGGGCTCGGCCCTGAGTCGGAGCTGCCCGGAGGGAGCGGCTGCGCTGGGGTTTGGGGACCGAGGAAGTGGGAAGGGGGAGGGTGTGAAACGGGACTCTTTTCTCCTCCCCAGATGTCCATCCACCTGCAGGAGGAGAGCTCCCAGCCCCACGTGCTGATGATGAAGGGGGCCCCCGAGAAGATCCTGGAGTTTTGCTCCACGTGCCTTCTGAACGGAGAGGAGTACCCCCTAGATGAGAAGATGAAGAGCAAGTTCCAGGACGCCTATCTGGAGCTGGGAGGCCTGGGGGAGCGCGTGCTCGGTGAGGGGCTGGGGAAGAACCCTGGAAGGACTGGCACCACCTGGTCGTGGCTCGGGGGGCGCAGAGCTGAAGGCGCTGGGGTGAGCGGGACGGAGACATTGGCGGCTGAAGGACTTCCGTTCCCTCTGTCTCTCCAGGCTTCTGTTTCTTGAATCTGCCCACCACTTTCTCCAAGGGATTCAAGTTTGACACGGATGAGATCAATTTCCCCATGGAGGACCTTTGCTTTGTGGGGCTCATCTCCATGATTGACCCTCCCCGGGCCGCCGTGCCCGACGCCGTGGGCAAGTGTCGCAGTGCGGGGATTAAGGTAAACCTCTGACGGTCCCAGGAGCCGCCGACCCGTCACAACACGGCACAAGGGTAGAAAGCTTTGCATGGAACGGGTTCTCCGCCATCTTGGTACCTGGATTGATTTCGGTTTCCTTGAGCTCATGATGTTTAGTCGTAAGAGACGACCTAGTGGTAAACGGGAAGTTTCTTCTGTCGTTAGAACCCTGTCTTGCGTTGACCGTGAGAATCATCAGGGGAGCTTTAAAAATCTGATGGCTGGGGGCGCCTGGCGGGCTCAGTCGGTGGAACATGTGACCGTTGATCTTGGGGTTGTGAGTTCAAGCCCCACATTGGGTATAGAGGTTACTTAAATAAATATAAATATATAAATAAATAAATAAACTTCAAAAAAAAAAAATCTGATGCCTAGGCCATACCCCAGACCCATTACATTGGAAACTCTCAGGGTGGGGCCCAGGCATCTGCTTTTTTTAAAACATTCATAGAGATTTCCGTAGGCAGGTCAGTTTGAGGACCGGCGTCCTAGGACACGGTTGTGCATGCGACTCATCTGGGGCTTTTTCTGGAACGCAGGTGTTGATTCAGCAGGTCTAAGTCACCCTGAGATTCTGCACTGGTGACAAGCTCCCAGATGATGCCGGTCCGCAGGCCACAGTAGAGGTAGCCAAGTGCTAGAAGGGGTCAGGTCAATGTGCTGCCGGGATGGGCTGGGGGCTGGAGCAGGCGACGGCGAGAATGAGGTCATGAGAGCTGGGCCCTCGACCTGACGCAGGGAACAGCCGCGCTAACAGGCACACGTCCGGGGGTACAAAAGCTGACACCAAAGTGAATCGGTCGGAAAGTGAGGCATAGTTGCCGGGCACCCCCGGAGGTGGGGATTGTTCCCTGGCCAGGGGGTGCTCGGGCTTCAGGGGGGAGCTGCAGAGTTTCTCTAGTCCTGAGACATTCTGTACCCCACTTCCACGCCAAATTCTAAGACTCACCTCCAACCTGGGAGATTAGAGATTGGCACCTTTCCCGCTCCTACCTGATATTCTGGATCCCAGACGTGGGGGGAGAGCAGTTAGATGGAGGAGTGGGGCGGAGGGTAGCACTGCAGGTCTTTAGGGAGAACGAGATGCTCTCTGCAGAGCTGGCTTTATCTTAGACCTTTGACTGTGGGCAGTTTGTCAGAGGGCAGCTGGGCCATGCCAAGTTCAAGGATTGGTTTCTGAGAACCAAGGGCTGGATGTAGGAACTATTTTGAGTGAATTCCCTAATGAGTACACACTGCTTGCATGGGACAGTTCTCTGTAGCGACAGCCTCATTGCAGCACATCTGCGGAGGATGCCCACACCGACCCGAGCTCCCTCCCTCTGGCTCTCTGAGCTCCCACACCATGCGATGGGAGGCACGTGGAGAAGGGCCCATTGGAGTTTCCTGAGCTTTGAGGCGGCCGTCGGAGTGGGGAATCACGCTGCAGGTGTGAAATGCATCTGGGGATCTGTGGGTCCCTTTAGCGAGAAGAAGAGGGTCACAAATGCACCTGCAGGCAGGGAGGACCGAATGGGGGGGGGGGGGACAAGGGGCTGACCGAGCCTGGGTGTCGTCAGAGCCCGAGGCAGGCGAGCCCGCAGCAGTCGGAGGCTGAGGCCTTGCTGCCTTCCGGGCCAGCCCGTGTTCCGGGCACAGATGTGCAGTTCTCGTCATCACTTCTTCTGGACCCTAAGCTGCCAGGACTTTGGCCGACTTGGTGAGAAATTTTGAGTCATCCCTTTTCCCTGTAGGGAAGTGAAAGACATACATGTGACACCATCCTCCGAGGAGGACAAAATGTGAGACGTACAGGGGGTTGCCCCAAAGGGTGGACCCTTTCAGGGCCGATTCCAAAACGGCGCTGATGCAGAGCGGATCGATGTTAACGCGGCGGCTGACAGGGATGGGATGGCGGTCCCAGGGCAGCGAAGTTCCTACAAGGATATGACGGCAGCGCCCATACTTCCCCAGGTAGAGCCCTGTGCTCAGGCCTTTGGAACTAATGTGATTTAAAAACCTGCAAGGACCCCGTTACATTTGCCACTCGTCGAGGCTGCATGGTTCCGTCACAGCCACGGAGTTGCCTTCTCCTTCCATCGGCGCCTGGAAAATCATGCGCCTGGAGGGCACCCGGGAGCCAGGAGCCGTGGTTCCCCGGACGCGGTCATTCTTTCTCCCTTCTCTGATGGCTGTTTGTGGAACGAGGGCTGTGTGCCAGGCTTCGCGCCAGGGCCAAACTTCACAAGGGGTCACGGACACGGCCCTGCCTTGCAGAGCTCACGGTGGCGCGCCGGGAGGTGGGCGCTCCCCATGGAGAGGAGGCTAAGTGCTGACATACAGAAGGAACAGAATGCCAGGCAGCTCGGAGCACAGGCGCCAGAGCTCTGGGGAGCAAGGGGACAGGGCTGGGGCTGGTACCAGGCACCCGCCAAGGGCTGGACCCCAGGAGAGGCGAAGGAAGAGGGAGCGAGAGGAAAAGCGAGGATCAGCACACACCTGGGCCTAGATGGTATTTTGCTAGGGCAGACGGATGATTCCAGACGTTCCTTTGTTACCATTTGTTCTCTGTGTAGGTGTTTGTCTTCTGAGCTTGAAGAAGCCGACCAGCTTCTGGAGCAAATTCAATGAAATTCTGAATATAGTAATGTGCCCAAATTCCCAGTTTATTCCTGGGAAACCTAGAGCCCAAACGGTTCTATGTTTTATGGTCTGGTGGTCCTGACCCAGTCCCAGGGGGGGAAGCCACGGCAGCGCAAGGTCTCGGGGATGAGCTGCTAACTCCCCTGTGGAATAAAGGCGGTGATCCATTGTGTTGTGGGGAGAAAGGCAAAGGATCCAGGACTCCCTGAAGATGATTCTTCTCCTCTTTCCTCCCTTCCCAACCCAGGTGATTATGGTAACGGGGGATCATCCCATTACAGCCAAGGCCATAGCCAAAGGGGTGGGCATCATCTCTGAAGGCGCTAGAACAATAGACAACGTGGCCGCCCAGCTCAAGGTCCCCATCTGCAGCAGCATCGACCCCAGGTGGGACCCCTAAAGAACTCAGATCTGCCGTTTGTTCCCTCCGTCCTCGGTCTGCCCCACCCGGATCCCCACTCACTAAGGTTCTTGAAGCCTCGTGCGGTAGGTAGATAGGACGTATGGGGTTTACTGACGGCAAAGTAAAACATGATAGGGAAATGGCCACACGACCACATCAGTGAGTTTGCAGAAGGACGCAGAGCAAAGGGGAGGGGCAGGCGGGAAGCAGGCAAGGGTGCGGTGTGTCCACCTGGGGACAGCGGGTGGCCGGGGACATGCGAGCTCTGAGCCCTCTGAACCGGCTTTTGGAACCCGTTCCCTCAGGGAAGCCAAGGCCATCGTGGTGCACGGCTCGGACCTGAAGGACATGACGTCGGAGCAGCTGGACGAGATCCTCAGGAACCACACGGAGATCGTGTTCGCGCGGACGTCCCCGCAACAGAAACTCATCATCGTGGAGGGCTGTCAGAGGCAGGTGAGGACGAC